GGTTTTCGATGGCCACCAGACTTAGCCTCCTACCATGTAAACCACGGAGTCGCGTTTCGTCGTCTGCGACCGAGAATATTAAGACCATTAGGAGGGTCAGGCGGCCTTGAAGAATTCAGCGAAAACTCGCGGCGTCGGTGCGAGTCCAACCCCCACAGAAAGGAAGTTTTTTTGCACAGCTTATGGTCTGCTATCGAGCTACGAGGCTCACTGTGCACCGTCAATTTAATTACACTTGGATCGATTTTACCCGCCCAACTTACTGTTAGTATGGAATCCACCCTTACGGAACAGTAAGCTGTCTGCTCAGGCAGGATTTTCTAAGCAATCATCTAGAATCCACCAGAATGACTACTAGGCTCACTTTATTGTTATGGGGGTGGCAGATTTGCTTAGTTCAGTTAACCCAAGCTACGATGGGCCTCGTGGCTCATTGGTAGAGCGTTGGCTGCGCACAAGGCTTCCCTGCTGTGGGGGTTCGTCTCCCACCGAGGCCACGAATTTTTAAAAATGAGGTCAACTGAATTAAGGAAATCTGCCAAACCCCTCTAACAATATCACTCTTACGAGACCTTCTATAGGCACAAGTAAATACTTCAATGACAGCACTGAGGGAACAGACGGCCAATCAGATCTGTTAAAAAGGTTTGGCTCCAAAATTAAAACGGAAGTTCACTCAGACAGAAAGATAAGTAAACTCCCCCACTCTGACATCAACTAATCGATCGCGGCAACACCCGACACCACTCCAACCTCACTGACGAATACTGTTCGTAGCACCTGTGAGAATAGCATCAGCAAAATAACCCTCCATAATATCACTAAATAGGAACGCGCATATTAACGTGAATTTCTCACTAAACCTTGTTCCGTATAACCACACGTCGTTATGATTAAATGTTGTGCCATATAAAAAAGAGCACTGTTGTACCCCGGTTAACGAGTTTACTCTATTCTGGCCCCAATCTCGTCATGTAAAACGCTCGTATTGCGAAACAGCCAATCAAACTGCATCCGGCCACTGATTGGCTGCAGGTGACCGAGAACCCACGCGCTGGGAGCAAGACTCAACGGCCAAAACACACAAACGCGCACTAGCAGCTCGTTAACTGAGCGAAAGCTAGTCAATCAAAACATATTTTGTCTACTTGTGGCTCGTTATTTACCTGAACTGTTCGTAGATGAGGCTGCTGGTCACCCGAAGCTCCACTGTAAATAATAACGCGCATATTAACGCGAATCTCCCACCACACTACGTTATGCGTTAATTTTGCACCCCATTCACAGGAGTGTAACTTCATTCCATCGCCGTATACGTTCTTCATTGTGGCAGAACGCCACAACATGTTCTTTTTCTGCGCCCTTAGAACGTACGCTTCCAATAAGCAATTAGGTCAGATGAGCAGACGTATC